AAAAGCCAAATAAACAATCATTGAATGCAATTACGAAATAAATTTTAATAAGGAAAATTAACAAACGGCAAGCTATTTTGAACATGATATGTAAATTTCCATAATGAATAATTGAATGAACGGCAAGCAATCAAAGGCATCAAAGGTTATGTTTTTGTTTTTTAGCAGTTTTCAGTTGATCTTCCTGCAGTCGCCAAGTACGTATCATTTTTCCTGTAGGTGGTGGACCAAAATTTCTTGCTGCTGCTTTGTTTCCATGCACTTTGGCGTAGTTTAACACTCCTAGTTTATACTGAATTGTATAGCTTAATCTCGTGTTTCCTGTAGTCTTATTTTCCAGGGCATTTTTTTTAAACAAATAGTTTTAAGCACTGATACCGACATGTTTATACTGAGTAGCACCGATACCGACACGTGTATTGGCTGAGTCAAAGAAAAGTCTATGTAGAGAAGGAAAGGCTCCATAGACGTAATGTGACCGTCGAACCTCTTCGAACTTTGACATCAGTTTCGAACTTTTAGCGCTTTTTGGCGACAGATATTTCACACATGCGCAAAATAATTATGGCATATGTAGGAAAAGTTATGTGTGTCTAGACCTTTATCCGTGCTAAAAATAGCATTCAGTATTGAAAGTTAACCTGTGTCCTTCATGTATAAGACGCAGGTAACTTTTTTGAGACCAAACTTAGGAAAAAAAGTGCGTCTTATATGCTGTCAAATACAGTAATTTCCGATCAGTGGCAATGATTACTTGCTTTTAATTTAATTTCTTTTTACAATTGAAATTTTGTTATTAATGATTTAATTTAAGTCCGCTTTAAACATTTTTAACAATTTACATTCAAGTTACTTTAAAAAAAGTTTCGGAATTAAACTTACTAACTATTGATTCTCTCTTTTTAGATAATTCTACTAAAATTAATCTTAGGAGATAATATAATCAATATTTCTTTAGTAAATAAATTATTATTAACTTACTTTGCAGCAATTGTGCAAGTAGTAGAATAACTCGATTTCGCACTAAGTCATACAACATATACACTGAAGTGACAAAAGTCATGGGATAGCAATATGCAAATATACAGATGGCAGTAGTATCGCGTAGAAAATGTATAAATGCGAAGTGCTTTGGCAGGGCTTTCATTTGTGTTCAAGTTATTCATGTGAAAACACTTTGACGTGATTATGGCCGCACAATGAGAATTAACAGACTTTGAGCGCAGAATGGTAGTTGGAGCTAGACGCATGGGTCATTCCATTTCAGATATCGTCAGGGAATTCAACATTCCGAGATCCACAGTGTCAAGAGTGTGCCGAGAGTATCTAATTTCAGGCATAACATCCCACCATGGACAGCGCAGTGGCGGACCACCTGCACTTAACGACCGAGACCAGCGACGTCAGCGTAGAGTTGTCAATGTTCACAGACAAGCAACACTGCGTCAAATAACCGAAGAAATCAATGTGGGACGTACGAGGGACGTGTGCGATAGGACAGTGCGGCAAAATTTGTCTTCCTTGGGCTATGCCAGCAGAAGACAAACTCGAGTGCCTTTACTGACAGCACGACATCGCCTGTAGCGACTCTCGTGGGCTGAGCATATCAGTTGGTCCCTAAACGAATGGAAAACCGTGGCTTGGTCAGATGAGTCACGATTTCAGTTGGTAAGAATTGATGGTAGGGTTCGAGTGTGGTGCAGACCCCATGAAGCCATGGACCCAAGTTGTCAACAAGGCACTGTTCAAGCTGGTGGTGGATCCATAATGGTCTGGGCTGTTTTTACATGGCATGGACTCGGTCCTCTGGTGCAACTGAACTGATCATTGACTGGAAATGGATACCTTCAGCTACTTGGAGATCACTTACAGCCATTCATGGACTTCAGATACTCAACAACGATGGGATTTTTATGGATGACAATGCGCCATGTCACCGGGCCACAATTGTTCGCAATTGGTTAGAGGAACATTCTGGACAATTCCAGCGAATGATCTATCGCCCCCTGTCTATAGAGGCAGCATGGCTCAATATTCCTGCAGGGGACTTCCAACGACTTGTTGAGTCCATGCCACATCGAGTTGCTGCACTTCGCCGGGCAAAAGGAGGACCGACAAAATATTAGGAGGTATCCCATGACTTTTGTCACTTCAGTGTATATATATATATATGTTAAATAAAGCTTTTTTTTTATTATTTTTTTAAAATTGCTGTAGTGTTTTCTAATATTTTTCCTGATTCATTTTGAATGTTGCTTGAAAATTGCTCATGGTAGTTGCTTTAAAAAGTGCCAATGAAGTTATTCATTAATTTGTTATATTACTGCTTCTTTAATTTAAGTTGGGAAGTTTGCATTATTAAAATAATATGAAGGAATACAGGCATTTTTCTTTGCTGGAAAGGAAAAGAGATAGTGCTTTTTTACTTCTTCTCATTTGTAAAAGCACAAGCTTAGCAAAAATATTTTGCCATATTTTATGCTTGTAAGCAGAGCATTTTCTGTGTTGTAGTTAAAGTGAAAAACTTTAAAAATTCATTAAAAAAGGAAGAAATTATTACAAAGAAGTGCAGTTTGCAAGAAAGGGCTCACAAAGAAGTTGGATTTTTTTTAGCAGCAAAAATATTTGAAGTTAAATATGTCACTACTAGAGGACACTGACGACCTGAAACACAGTGAACAAGACAACAGCATGCTGCTTTAATTTATTCTTGCAATAACAGTTGTTCAGCATGACCTCCAGAACATTTTGCAACACAACTAAGGCAATTCACAATGCCCGTTACAGCTAAATGCAACATGTCGGAATGAGCTGCAGAAACCTCACGGCAGATAGAATCTTTGAATTTGGCCAGGTTTGAATGGGATGAACAGTACACAAATGATAACCAAACATTACGCAATGAATAGTCCCTTAACCAGAAGTCAACCGGAGTGAGATCGGGTGATTGTGGAGGCCACACGATCTTCCAACCTCAACTTATCACTCCGTCTTCAGCAAAGGCACTCATTAGGGATCATTTTACTGGATTGGCCTAGCGTGGCAGTGTTCCATCTTGCATAAAGCTTGTTACAGATAATACACCTCTTTGATTTAACGAAGGCATGACTTTGTCACATAGAAGAGTGAAATAACATCCAGCTGTTACTATGTGCTTTTTCCAGCCAGATATGGGGCACTGTTCTTCAAAGAACGATGGTCCAGCAATGAAAGATGATATGAAGCCACACCAGACTGTCGACTTGGCTGGATGCACTGACTTCATTGTGTGTTCACGAGGATTTGACATCTCCCATGTACGAGTGTTCTGGGTGTTGGCATCCCCGTGTAGTGTGAAATGTGCCTCATCCATCCGGAAAACTTTGAACAACCACTGTGGGTAACTCTCAATTATTTCCATAGCCCATTCGGCAAATGATGCCTCATTAGCTGTGTCTTTTGGTTGTAATTCATGGAGTGATTACAGTTTGTAGGGATAGAGATACAATATCCTGTGGAGGATACGTCAGATCGATGAGGCACATGCAGTAGCCTTCCAGCTTTGTGAGCACTGTTACAGCGCATGGATGATTCCGCTGCTATATTATTCGTAGTGGTTTCTACCTCAATAGTTGCAGTCTTTAATTGCAAGATTAATTTGCATAATTTTGCTGAATCTGTCGCATGCCATTGCTCTCTTCCAGTGACATTTTTTAATAAATTTATTTTCTGTTTAATAAATAAATAAAGACTTCCTTTGGAGCTCTTTCTTTCTTGCAAACCACACTTTTTTATCATAATTTCTTCCTCTGTTTTGAATTTTTAAAGTTTTAATGAACTTTTGGCTTACCCTGTACTGCATATTTTTTCTCCTACACTTTAATGATAAAATAAATTGAAATGGAAGAAGGAAAATATATGTTAAGTACTGTATAGTATGCATCAGTATCCTATGTCTGTGTCACCTGTTTCCAAGGTGAATTATCTTTCAGTAACTACATCAACATTATTTTGTTGGATAAGAATTGCTGTAGATTTTATACCTACTACTTATTGTATATATTATAAACTTCTAATAATATACTAGTAGTTCAACTCAGATTTGAAGCCTGGTTAATGAGCTGTTTGCATTTTTGGTTTCATGGTTTTCCTTTCATAAAAACATGAATACAATCCTGCATGCCGGTTTCCATTAGAAAATAATCCATAAGAGCAACATGTCCTTAGACATATAGCCCTTATCTCATGTGTTTTACCATATTCAAATAATGTAATAAACATATTCTAGATATTAATAATATAGTTCGACCGTCTCAAGCGCAACCCTGGTTGGCATTCTGCCAAAAACATATAGACTCGTCCAAAAGGGGCGGCATTACTTGCTGCGAAGTGAAAGTTCTTCTCTTCTCCAAAAAGAGCTATGCTGGAGGGAAAGAAAGTCCCCATCCTTCTACCCTATTTTGAGAATAATTCTGTCCGAATGGCGCATGTGTGTTTGCGCTCGTGGTCGCGGATGAGGCGGTTGAACTATAAAAAGAAAATGCTGCAACTTAAAAAATTTGTGCATTCATAAGAAAATATAAATTTTAATGCTTGTTAGTTGCAATCTGCAAAATGATTGCTTTATGTATAACAAGATAAATGCAATGAATATAGAGCTTTTTTAATTTGTATGGCATTATAATTTCATCCATAAGCAGAGTACTGGAAATATTGTTAAAAAATATATTACAGTGTTTGTTAAGCAATTAAACTTTTTATTAAAATGTTATTATTTTCTCTGCTCCTTGTTTCTTGCATTGATTCCAGTATAATTGTCACACTTTGTATGTGTTATTTAAGATTTATTGCGCTAAACATTTTCAAGTTAATGTAGGGGAGGAAGAGTGAAATTATGTCATATATTTAGCAAAAGTTATTGTGTGTGGTGATAAAATTGTTTGGGAGTGTTTAGAAAAATATTGAGTATTTTTAATAGTAAAATTAGTACTTTTTTTAATGAAAATAAATTTCTTTTTCAGTCCCGAAGGGATAAAATTTCGTTCAAAACCAGATATTGCTGCATATTTAGCAAGGACAAAATCTCCATTGAAATTGGATGATTTTAGCTTCAGCAAGAAATTATCTGACAGTTCTTCAGTGAAACCAGCTGTGAAAAAAGAAAAACTGCCGTCTAGTAAACTAGCATCGCCTGCTAAAAAGAAAGCCAAGCAGTCAGTTGCCTCTCCAAAAAAGAGTCCAAAACTTTTGGTGAAAATAAATTTTGCTGGAAAATCTAAACAGAGAAATGTTAAAAAAAGTGCAGAAAAAGCAAGCAAGTCTCCAGTAAAAGGTGGGAAAGTGTCTGCAACAAGCTCTAAAGCCAGTAAAAAAAAGAAATCCGCATAGAATGCATAAATAGCAAAATCAGATAATTCATGAATGTTATGCAAAAACCATAATTTCATTTTGTAAATAAAAGTCAACAGTGACTTTATGCATTTTATAAGTTAAATGTGAAATTTTATATTGTTACATCACCAACTTAAATATTAACATGTACCTTTGTGAATGAAATATGTCAGGATTAAGATTTTTAGTTTTTATTGTAGATTAGTAATTTTAGAAATATATTTTCAATTGCTTTCCCAATCTCTTTTAAATAACTAAAGTAGCAAATATAGATATTCTGCGGGCACTTAATCAAAATTAATTTTATAAAAAATTATTTCTTCTAGCTTTTAGAAATTTCAGCAGACAGATTTTGTTGAAAAAATGTGTTTTAAAAATTTTATTGCATAATTCATATCATAGAATCAAGGAATGCTATAGTTAAAATCATTTTCAATGTCTATCTTTTAAAATCCTTTAAATAAAATTTTTATTAAAAATTTTTTTTCTTTTAAAATTTAAGAAACAGTTATAATAAAGAACTGTTATATATGTTTGTTAGCAAATTGTTTATTTAACTATAAAATTGAGGTAGAATGTGCTTAATCTATTCATACAGTATTTAGAGGTGGTAGAATTATAGGGAGTTTTTTTTTTTTTTTTAAATTAGTGGGGAGGTAAAAGGAAACTTTTAAAATATTTTTAGAAAAGGAGGGATTTTTTCTTCATGGTCAGAGTTAATCTATTGGTACAGTAATGTACATAAATCTATTGGTACAGTGATGTACATAATCTTGATTTTAAGGATTTTTCAAATTGAAATCGATTTTATTGTAATATCTGTGAATATTTTTGTGCTTCCGTCTTTTTCTGAATTATGTTTCTCCTTGCCCTAATGGAGTTTTTGAAAATCTTAGAATTTTCCAAATTGTTTTCTCTAAATGGCCAGAAATTTCTCATTTCAAGTCTTACATTTGAATAAGAATTGATTTTTGAAAAAGTAATTAATTCTAGTTAAGAATTTATGCATTTTCTCTCTTTTATATTAAAAATGTTTATTTTTTCATCCTTTTTTATCTTTAATATTAAATGCATTTTCTGATCTTTCTGGCTCAGGTTTTTGTAACTTGGATTTAGAATGCAAGTATTTATATATTTACTTAATGGATGCGTCTATATCTTATGTAAAATTTTAGTTATCTCCAGCAATAGTGAATCAGAGTAATTTTAAAATTTATACTATCTTGACTTGTAAAGGATGGTACAGACTTCCTTTACACTACTCTGATTACCTAAGACAAACATTCATTTCTTAAGATAGGAAATTTGATATTTTGTGATTTTATTATGTACATGAAGCTAGACATATTGGTTAAATTCATAACGTATAGAATTTTTAATAGATTTAAGTATTGCATATTAACAGAAAAAACGTGTCTATTATTATTAATTGTATTTAATATGTAATTAAAATGCTGTAACATCCTTGTTTTTGAAAATAAATAAATGTCCCCACTTTCTTTTATATGATACTTGACAGTCATTTTGTAGGTTTTCGCAAGCATCTTTGATTTTAATTCACCTAAAGTCAATATAAAATACCTTAAAATTGAGGTGGAATTTTTAAAAAAATGATAATGGTATTTCAAAATTAAAAATATATACCAGTTTCATATACCATATATATTTCTAAAGTAATTAAAAGTCTCATTTATGTATGTACATGTTAATTTTTATATTTTGTTTAACATATTTCATGCATAAATAAATACTTTATTATTTTGCCTTGTCTTGTGATGCATAAGGAAGTATTTATTTATGCATGAAAACATAACATTTGTACTTTGGAGGTGAAGGGAATGTTATCAGTAATATTACTACTGGCTGACATTATTTGTTGATGTATGATCACATTTTTAATAACTATTTTTATAGATATATAACTATGCAATGAAATACTTTGCCTTTTCAGATTTGATTTTTTAATCCAAAACTAAATTTGGATTACTTTGTTAAAATGAAAGCAGTTAGTCTTTTTGACAATGTTTAAGAGGAGAGTTTTGATCTCTGCTATATGAAATTTAATTGTTGTTTGCATATTAACACATCGACAAAGATATTACTGTTTTCCAAACATAATTTCCTTATCCTGGCAAAATTGGAATTTATACTATTTTTGTAAATATTTGTTGCAAGCTTTCTGCATGTGTGATCCTCTGGAAAAAAAAGGAGAAAAAAAGATGCATGTTCATCTACATCTTAATGATTAAAGTGCTGTTTATTTAATAATTTCAAAATCTCTTGCATGGCCTTAATTGATAATGAAATGATGTCCAGCATGTTTTTTTTTTTTTTTTTTTTTTCCTAGAGTTTTGTTTTGCTGTTTTAAATAGCTCATTTAAATATATATTTTATGTCAGTATCTTGAATTTCTGAGTTAATTCTTAAAATGGCAGGCCTGTTGCAACTGTTTAATTAAAACTATTTTAAATGTTGACCTCTAACACCTGAGTACCTGAATCAGATTGGCTTGCTTGGCCCCTTTTTTAAAAAAAATTAAAATTTTTTAATGGTGAACTGATCTCTGAAGTGTTAGACTGTTACCTAAAATTTTCAGATTGCAGATTTTATTACCGTTAGTATTTTATATTTAGGGATACTTAATTTCAGTCCTAGGTTTACACTATTGTAAATTTTTTATATGATAAACATTCTGTGTATAAATTCTCTCTCTCTCTTTTTTTTTTAAATCAGCATAAGACTTAAAATTTTTAGTGTCATAAATATAATTATTTTAGTCACTTGCATAAATACATTTTGAATTTTTGTAAATGAATTTTGAAATACTCTCCGAGTTTAGCAGTATGATGCTGATATATGATGTGAAATTTAGAAAATGGGTCCTTCTTTGCTTTTTATGAGAATAAGAGTTAAAAAAATTTGTTTAGTATCATAAACATAATTATTTTAGTCACATATAAATACATTTTAGTTATTGTAAATTAATTTTAAAATACTATCAGAGTTTAGTAGTATGTTTTTGCTACATATGATGTAGAATTTAGAAACCTATTGGGTTTTGTATAGCTGTTAAAAACAGCTGTACATAACCAATCCCTAGAGTGTTTTATTTCCTCTTATTCATCCTACGTATATTCATGGTAATTGCAATTAACTCTTGTGATTGTCAATCTTTCAAAAATTGTTATGAAAAAAATTATACTAAAATATTGGTTAATATTTATTGGTATGGATAGTGGGAAATGTTTGGCTTATCCAGGATTTAACATAAATTTGATATCTTTTAAGATATTAATTGGTGATTTAAATATATTTATATACACTGCATTCTTTTCTATTTGAATAAAGTGCATGAGTTTTATGTTTTGGGAAGAATCAGTAGGGCAGTCTTACGATTGTTAATACTTCAATATGAATTAAGGGCGATTTCCCCCATCTATGTGTGTTAATGTTTGCTATCGGATTATATTTTCTTTAGTGTTTATATATATATATATATATATATAAAGGGGGGGTTAGCAGGAAAAGTTCCTTAAAAATTTTTCTGGCTTGAGCTATTTGATTTCTTACTGGCGAGCCACTGTTTTAAATTGTAAGTGTAATAAGTATTATTAGCATATGATTCATCTGTAATTACCTAATAACTGTAGTTTATTAGCATAATGTTGTTGTAAGGACGTTAATATTTTATATATATTGAGGGGAAAATTAATTTTATGGCCCTATCTTTTATAATTTAATGTATTTAAATATTTAATTGTGAAACTTCAGATTATGAGTTTTCAGTGAATTCTCGTAGTTGACAGTTGTCTGTTGCAATATTTTGTTTATTAAATTTATAATAAAATATATTTGAAAATATGACAGAAAATTTCATACAGATTTTTCATTAAACTACAATTAAATATCTGCACAATTTTATGCTGATTATATAATAGTTTAATTGTTACTGTGTGTATAATATGGAAAAACCACATTTATAAAAATTAGTTATGAAATTTCATATAGACTGTTGCATTATACCTTAAAGAACTGATTTATTTTCTTCATACAATAACTCAATACATTTCTAAATATTCTTTCTGATATAATATACAAAAGTTTTCACTTTTTTAGTTAGAACGTAAGTTTTTTAAAGAATGTGTGCAATTTTATTTTCACTTATACGTCTAGGTTTGCTAATTATAATGAAATTTAAAAAATTTGAATATGAAATTAGGGCTGTGTGGAAATTTTCAAACATGATCTCTTTTGGGAGAGAGGATTATTATTATTAGTTCTTTTTAAATTATTGTCACATAGCTGTTTAAAAGCAGCTAGCTGTTTAAAAGTTGACAAGTGTCTGTCAAAAGTTATGAACATAGCTGTTTAAAAGCAGACTGGAATTTTCTTATCAGAATAAATTATTTTCAGTTTTAATATAGTAACCATCCTGTCCTGCTATATATATACCTTGGTTTTTTTGTTTTAGAATTTGTAGCTTTTTGTATAGCTAGAATTTCTGTTGTCTGCACTTTCTTTCTAATTTCACAAAATGAAGGTTCCTTTCAGACAGTTAAGTCCTAAGTGTATAGGTAAGGTTAGGTAAAGCTGTTTCATTTGAACAGTTCCATCTATGAAGGTCAGATGAGTACAATTTCATGACATAGAATGATCTTTGCACTATCTTATTACAGGGCAGTGTTTGCTTTTTTAAACATTGTCTCATAATATGATTGCCCTGCAGATTGCAGATGTATTAAAATTTAATGATTATTTGTATACAATGATTAAAAAGAAAATTTTTCATAGAAAATTGGACAGACACTTAGCACTTGTATCTCAAAAGTTAATTCCTGAGCATTTTTATTGAAGCCTCTGTTTTTTTCACTCTTTTCAAATGAGTGTAATATTTACATTTGCTGTTTCAACCCTGTATTCAGAATAAACTATTGCTTGTCTCAGTACAAAGAGAATGCTTCCTTATTGTAAAGAATTTTTTACAATGTCTGTAAAATTGATTAAAACCTGTTAAGGTTAGTATATCAATAATATAGACTTTCCTTTATTTTCTGATTCCTCCATTCATGTTTTTTGTGATAAACTTCATTTTTTATGCCTGTATAGTTACAGTACAATATTTGATTTAGACTATTCGTAATCACCTGTTTGACATTCATGTGCTACTTGCATGTGCATATTCTGATGCATTAAGCATATATTATAATACCTTTTATATTTTCTGATCTTTCTATTATTTATGTAGGTTTTTATATATAGAAATCAAGCGTACATAAATGTTTGTATTTGACTTTACCTTTTCGGTAAAAATATCAGTTTTAGTTTTCTTGCAGTTCTTACTATAAATGTGATTGTTAATTATTTAATGAAGTGAGTAGTGTTTTGACACTTTCACATTGATAATTGTGGGTTATAGATAATATGAGTAATCAGACACACTGATGCAATTATATGTTGTTTTTTAAACAAACATCATCTTTATTTTTGTTCATCTGTTTGTATTTGTATCATTTGCAAAAATTTTGAATGTTTAATAAAGTACTCAAGCACTCCATTTTAATCTCACAGCACTGTATCAAATTGCTTGTAATATTTATTTGTATTTATAAAGATATCTTTTTTAAAGACTTGTTAATTAATTCTGCATTGAGTTTCTATGAAAAGTTAAATTTAGATTATAGTAGTCAACTGTGATTTTTTAATGTTGTATTCTTTCCTGCTGCCTCTTAAGTATACACCAAATTTTTGCATAACATGTATTTTAGTTTCATATTTGATTCATTATTATTCTGTTGTTTAATTTATTATAATATTTTGAAAACATGTTTAGTTTTTAACCATTCAGTCATAAGGACAAAATCATAATTTTATTACTCTCAAATGATATTATATAGGAATATTTACAGTAATTTCTACTTCAGATTTTGTTTTTCGTTTACAAAAATGTTAATACTATAGCAAATTTAAGGTTATTTTATGTGATTCTGTGCCTATATAAATTAAATTTTAAAATTTTACATTGACTATTTCATTTTGTGTTGTGTCACAAAGATACACAAATTTTAATTTCTTAACTTCATATACTGAGGGGAAGGGGGAAGTAGCAAGTAAATAATTATAAAGTCTATATAATTTTAAAATCTTTTATGAATGTTTGTCTTTAGTTATCAGAAATAACTATAAGTTTATTTTGTATACAGCCAATCATAATAGAATGAGTAAAGGTCATAGTTCAAATGAAACATAACCGGAAGTGTATAATACTAGTGAAGCATGATTCATTTTAATATAATTTATTGCATGATTATCTTTTTCGCGGATATTTCTCTTCTCAATTTCTTTTTCTTCTCTTGCAACTAAAAAAAAAAAAAAAATTGGTATGTGTGTGTGTGGTTCTGTCTCCATGCAATATTTCAGTTGAAAAGACATTTATCAATTTTTTGGGTTCTGTTTCTATGCAGTAGTATTGTTCAAAAAAAAGCTTATCAGTTTTATAATAAATGCTCAGGAATTCCATTGCTCATTCATTTCCATATGCTTAAATGTACAAATAATGTACATAGCAGTTTTTCTTGTTTTTCTTGTTGCAGTTTTTCTATTGTCTGATTTCTCAGAATGGATTCTCGTGTGAATTTTGTTCTAGCATTTTGTGCTCTGGACACTTTTATTCTAGACTATGTAATTAAATATGTAATATTTATTGCTTTTATAAATATATGAACCAAATGAATCCCTTTGAGAAAACATTTTGAAAAATATTTTAATATTAGTGAAAAAGAATTGAAATGCAAGCATTAATACAAAAAAATTCCGTTTAATTTGTATTATTTATGTTATTAGTTCTGCGAGTGTTTCATTACGGTTTTCTTTTTAAACAGAAAAGTTAAATTCAAATTATGGAATGCTTTCCCCGAAAAATGGAAAAGTTGCAAAGCTGCCTCAGCTGGATGGAAAAACTTCTAAAGAAAAATCAGTGATTAAAGAGCCATGTATTGTACTGGTGAGCGTGAATTCCCATTTTGAACTTTGATGTTCTTATTTATGCTGTTAATTATGTAGGCAAAGCTTTTGAAAATTAAGCATTTCCGAACTACACGGTGTTTCATTACTAGGATGATAGTATGACGTAACAGTTTATTATAAAAGTCCTATCTATTGTACAAAAATTCAACTTCATCAAAGTAAGTGTAATTCCAGCAAAGTGCTGAAATTTGTCTTCTTTCTGTTTGAAACGCGGAGTGATGAGTCTTTATGATACATACAGAAGTTGCAGCAAGCATAGCATCTTTTAATATGGGCAGTTTTGGTAATTGCAGTGCATTTCAGTTCATCCAGGTCGTGTGGATTTTTTCCTGTACACCCTTTCCTTCAACATTTTGGGAATAGAGGTATTCAGTTCTTAAGAGATTATGGTGTTGGGGAATCTAAAGAACAGAGCCATCTTGCAGTTAATTTAGAGAAAGCTTTCATCATCTGATTATGTGACAAATTGTTTGAAAATTTCTATATATACATTGCTATTTAATTTCTGTTAAAAATCAGGTCCATGGTATATATATATATGTGTGTGTGTGTGTGTGTGTATGAGACGTCATACACTGCCAGATGTCAGTTAGTGATAGAAAGTGTAACAGTATGCCTGATATTTAATTTTCTATCTATTGAAATACATTTTACTGTAGCTAAATTTAATAAATAAATTTTGTAATAATTAATTTATCAAATCAACTTAGTAATGAAACACCCTTATTTGTCCTTTAGAAAAATGAGTTTATAAACTCTATTTACTTTCAATTACATGTCCACATTGTTGAAAATTTTATGCAGAGGGTGACTGCATTTAATCCATGTGTAAGTAGTGTTTTCAGTGTGGAATCTTCAAAGAACATGTGTGCGTTTTTAAGCGATAAAATGTGTCTAATGTTGTCAGGCTAATAACTGACATATTGATATAACTGTAGCCTTTTTATTTTCTTGCTCAGTGGTGTAAATAAGTTCAGTGTTTGCTTTCTGCTTCTTTTTATTTTTCAAAGAGCAAGATTCAGACAGTCTTGACAGTCAGGTTTAAGGTGGAAAATATGGAATTCAAACCTTTGTGAATTATTTTTCACTGTGATCTTTTGTATTCTGTAATGCACAGTAAGAATATTAATTAATTCTGTGTATGTTAAACATTGGTAGGAATGAAATAATTTCTGATTTCTTCTATCTTTTCTTGTTTTCTGAAATTATTCTGATTGTTAGGAAGATCTCTTTTGACCTACATAATTAACTTTGAAGTGGTTCTTTTAATGGCATTTCCTTCAAAAAGATTATGAAAAATTCATATTGATATCTAGCTGAGGCACAAACCTCTGTGGTGGTGTAAATTATTCAAACTTGCAAGATTCTACTGTCAAATAATAATCATGGGTTTAATAAACAGTCACCCTTTGTAATTACTTTCTCAACTGTTTGTTGTCTTATATATTTATTTAAAACTAACAGAATGATTTAATTTAATACAGCTATTTGGTTAATGTGTTGATATTTTGCTCATACTTGCCAACAAATATTTTTAGCTTTATAAATATAACTATCTTAATAATTAAAATGGATAGCTAGTCGGTCACCACAAGAACCTCTCCCGACAGAAGTTTGCAGATATCTGTTGCTGTAGAAAAAGCAAGTTCTAACAAACTTTGGTAGGACTGTCTTGAACAAGTATAATTAAGTTTGTCATCTTGATATATTTAATGGCAATATTCATTTTTTGATTTTTACTTAAAGTAAAATAGTATTATTTTATCATCATTACATTCAATTTCAAAATCGAATATTCATGCTCCAAATGATATTGTTATTGTTTATTATTATTATTATTTAATAACTTTTATACTGTATTGTTTACTTTCATAATAATTAAATATATAAGTAATTACTTCAAAAGTAAAAATATTTATCATAGCGTACTCTGAGTAAGTACTTTTCGTGAACAGTATTTCTTTGCCTGTACCACAAGTTTTAATAAAATTAATAGCTGGTTATGTTCACAGGGAAATCAAAATTACTTTTATGCTAATTACCAAGCTCTATTTTTAATCCAGTTTAAAGTATTATGCATGTTTTTAAACGCTATATTAAGTAACTTGGTAAAATGTTCAAATAACAATAAAATTAGAGTTTTTATATTATTTAGCTGTTCAGCCGCATATATTACAGACATTGTTGAAAACATATTGGAAATAGATGGTTTTACAAAACAGGTTGTAAAAAAAGAAAAAGAGCATTTAAACCAGATATTTTTAATCCCCTTCTTATATTAACATATTAAATGGTTTCTATGCATTTGTGGTTTTCAAATAATTAAACCTCGGTTTTTATAATATAAAGAAGTGTAAGAAATATTTTTCATAAAAATTAATATAATTAATAAATAGAGGCAATATAAATTATACATGATTTTATTAATTTGCAACATAAAATATAATGAAATATCTTCGCTGCTTTTTGGTATTAGTAACTTGCAAAATCACTTAAATATAAACTAGTATGCATACATAGTAATAAACAAAAAAGGCCCTTTTGTAGTTATTTTTTTCTATAAATACAAATAAAAAATCGAAGTATGTGTAATGTAGGAAGGGCACTTGCATTTGCACTCTACATAACCTTTTCAAAAGTTTCTTGCATTATAGTTGCACACTGTATTTGTATTTAATGCTTTATATAACAGATGAAGAGTTTTGTTGCCTTTGAAACCCCTGACTGATTTTAATTTATTGTGTACAATTCCTAAAATAGAAAACAATCTTTCAATCCCTTCTGATTATGATCTCAACATTTCAATGATATCCAGTTCTTTTTTTCTCTACACATTCTTTCTCAAGATCCCCAAATGTTGTCAGTGATTTGTTTGCCTCATTTTCAGGAAGGATTTCTCCACAAATGTGAGGCACAAATTATAAATTTCATAGCGGTTTCTGCATTGAAGCAGAAGATAAAATCCCAGAGAAAAAATTACAGGGTTCGTACGGTCCTTAAAGTCCTTAATTTTTCCAAAAATGATTTTTGGTCCTTAAAAGTCCTTAATTTTGGCCAAAATGAATAAACGGTCCTTAATTTTGCTCATTCGACATTTCTTATCATTTCTAATGATTGCCATTCTATGTGTGAATTGCGATTTCTCATGAATATGGAACTAAAATTGCGCGGCTCTTAACCAATTTGTTGGCGGATTTGCATTGCAAACGATTTAAAAAAAAAAAAAAATTAGCTACCCGAACAAAAGTATTGGTGTCTGATTGACTATTCACCCAATCTTTCGAAACAGGTGTTATCCATAAATTTAGGCAGATTGATTTTTCACATACTATATGTATGAGATATCAGGATTATGAGTTTATTTCTGCAGAGGGTCTGTTATCGATTTCGCGGGAAATCTGTTGGCTCCATTTCGATTTTAGGTCGCCAAGGGCAAATTCGGTAACGTTAGCCGAGAAAAAGTGAAGTTCGGAAATACGTTTGAAGCTTCAATAGACAATTAGTATTTGTTTAATCCTGTGCTTTGATAGTAATGCATTATTTGCTAATGGCGATACAATTATTTGAAAATAACTAATAATTAAAATTTTTAATACAATAATGATTCGCGATTTCGGCATCAAGGATATAAAATATTAGTTGGTGTAAAATTAACAAATGTTTCGGTTTGAGATTATGCCAAGCAGATACGCAGCTATGGAGTCAAGTTACTAATCACACAAATTTATGCTAAAATAATTATTTCTTCAATAATGAGATATTTTATTTAGCGCCAAACTGAGATTAAGAATCGGGATTTCCGGCATGTTTTTTTATGATGAGGAAAAAAATCTAATGCGCATGCGTAAAGCATACCCCTTCCCTCCAAAAAAGCCCTAAAAAATTGGTTGGCGGTGGCTTTGAGGTCCGGATTTTAGATCATTCCGGATATTGGATGTCCGGATCTCGGAATTTGTACTGATATATATATATATAATATATATGTACTATATATAATATATATACATATAGTAAAAAATGTATATTTTCAGTATACATTTCTTATTATATACATATATACATATATATGCGATACTTAATTTTACTAATGCCTTGCATGTAATGCCCCTTTTAGCTGCAAAACATCGTTCCCTTCTCAACTGCAGAGTTTCTTCTAACAGTATCATGAATTTTGTCAAGTTAGAAGAACCATCTACTTCAGGAAAAGATGTAACTGCTAATTCAACATCAATAAGTGTAGAAAATAATAAAATCAATTCTTTTCTTTTCAAATCTGAAGTTACAGATGCAGAAATATTGTGGGCTTTTAAGTGCATCAAAAGCCACTATTCTTTTAAATCGTGCGATGATATTGGGCCGTTATTCACTAAAATGTTCCCGGATAGTTCCATTGCAAAACAGTTTTCATGTGGTGAAAAGAAATGTGCTTATATCTGTTATTTTGGTCTTGGCCCTTATTTTAAAACTTTGTTACTAAAGCATTGTAAAAATGCTGAGTTTTTTACATTACTATTTGATGAGACTCTTAATCTGACAAATCAAAAGAAGCAACTAGATATTCATGTGAGGTACTGGCATCACGAAAATAAGGTCAGAACTCAGTACCTTACTTCTGCATTTATAGGGCATGCAAAAAGTGAAATTATTTTATCCAAATTTTATGAATGTGTTGAAAAACTAGACTTGTCAAAACTCTTACAAATATCGATGGATGGTCCTGCAGTAAACTGGAAATTTTATGATTTATTGCAACAGGACTTGACAAAGGAATATAACATTCAATGCTTGACATTAGGGACATGTGGTTTACACATTCTTAACAATGCTTTCAAGCATAGGATGTCATCCACTGGCTGGGACATTCCATCATTCTTATCCTCCTTATATTGGATTTTTAAAAGATTCTCCTGCAAGACGTGAAGATTTTTTAAGTATATCTGGCTTAAAAAAGCTACCTGTGAAGTTCTGCTTTTACCG